ATTGAAGCTCAACCTTAAGAAAACAAAGATTCTCATCACTGGGTCAACTGACAGCTTCATGATGGACAGAGAAGAGACTGAAATTTGCTTGGTTCCACAATAAACACTCTTGGCACCAGCAGTCAGGAAATCAAAAGATGAATTTCACTGGGGAAGTCTCTCTAGAGTACGCAAGAACAACGCTATCAGTCTGGAGACTAAGATGCCTCTGATACAGGCCATAGTCTTTGCAATTATTTGCTATGCGTCAGAGAGCTGAACAATGACTAAGGATGGCAGAAGAAGAATCAATACCTCTGAGTTGTGGTGCTGGAGAAGAGTGATGAACATACCGTGGAATGTGGGGAGAACAAACAGGTGAAACCAAGCTGCTCCCTGAAGACAAGGATTTTGAAGCTGTCTCACATAATTTGGGCATGTTGCCAGGAGGGACCAGTCCTTGGAGAAGAACATCATGCTTAGAAAGGGAGAGCAAGAGTGCAGGAGAGGAAGACCCAGGATGAGATGGATGGATTCAGTGACTGGGGAAATGGGACTGGGTTTGTTGGAGATGATGAAATTGGCTCAGGACAGGGCAAGGTTCAGAGCTGTTGTACAGAGGGTCACTATCAGTCACAGGAGATTGGACAGAACATAAAAACAACAGTGGTAAGGGCCTGCACTGTCAGCCCAAAGGTACATAGTTAGAATCGACCAGCAGCTCTGCAGAAGCTAGATGATGTCTAGAGAGGAGAAAATGGGACATAGGGACACAGGGCCATAAACCTCTCTCTGAAAGAGCAGAGGGAGTGAGAACACCACCACCTGCCCCTCACTGCCCCAGAGCAAAAAGCAGACAGAGAGCCCATAGTCAGGCATAATGGTGCCTCTGGAACCACACCAACAGCAAGAGGTTCCTTTATTCATTGTTGACTCACTGATTCACAGCTGTGGTAATGAGAATGGTATTTGTTAGGGAAGTAAGTTGGAGAGTAGGGTAGGCAAAGAATATCACCCAATACAAATGCAGGTTTTAGGCCAAGTTCCAAGGCACAATTCTTCAATTAGTGCAGGTTCTGGTTTCAGTTCAGCAGTCAAATCCAAATCATCCAGCCAAGTCTGCCTCAGAGCAGTTTATAAGTCAGCTTCTCCTTCAAGCATCCAACAAGAATGCCAGTAACTGTGGCCAGCAGAAATGCAAGAAGCTTCAGGTCACCGTTTCTCTTTAGCAATGCCACAGTCTCTCCTCCACCATCACCAGGTTCTCATTCAAGTTTTGCCACTCAGTGCGGGAAACACTCTTTAGCTTTTCCTAGTCCCACAGCTGTTGATGATTTGCAAGACCATGTGTCTGCAATTAAGGCAGCTGGAGACCAGAGACTAAAAGCTAAAAAAGCCAACTTTTAGGCTAATACCACAGATGGGCAATCTCCTCTCATGCAATTTATTACCTCTGAAAACCTGCTGGAAGGACAGCTATGAGTCAGTTCCAACTCAAAAGCATATAACAGTCCCAAGAGAGTACCTGAAAGACAGGGTACTGGTAGGCACAATTCAATGGTGATTAATTTTATAAAATATTAATGAATGGGAATGATGGTGTGAAATGCAATATGAATAAAGCTTAGTGTGAAACACAACATATATAAACTCTGTAAACAAATATAAAATAAAAATTAAAAAACAAACAGTCTCAGATGAAATAAAAAAGCAAATTTTCATTTCCTAAGCTGGTAAATGATACCCCTCCCCCCCCCCGCTTCACAGAGCTCTAAGTAACCCTAGTCTTGAGTCTTCAGACTTGGCATGCTCGCTTGCTCCCTTCCTGGGAAAGCCAGTCACTTATTCATGACTTCCAAACAGTCACGAGTGAAATGGCACACGTTAGTGTGGTCTGGCTGCTGAAAAAGCAAAACACTGGCTTTTTGCTTGGCAAACACTCACACACCAGCATGAAACCTTGGCAGCACACCAGCGAGCCATTCCTGCCTCTCAAAGACTCACTGTGCGCCAGGCAGCCAGGAACCCCAGAGCCAGCGGGGGACCTTCACCCCACAGCTCACGCCCCAAATTCAGCCCTGTCTCTTCATTTATTTTTTTTTTAATTATTTTTTTTGTGTGCGTACCGTCAAATCAGATCTGACTGGTGCATCTCTGTTTCTTACCACATCATTCAGACACATCCTAGAGTGCTCACCCCAGAGTTAATGGAAGCACCCCCATCTGTGCAGTACACTCACTGCCAACGAGCATTCAGTTTCCAGGGTCCAAGCTCAGAGGTTTCACATAGTTTTGAATTTAGAATTAGAAATGGTAATTAAAAATGCAAAGAATTAGAAAAGTTAACAAGTAAATGGGGGGGGGGTTTGAGGTGGGGGGTGCCACTTAATTACTAGAACTAGAGAGAGAATTAAAGAGGATTCCCAACTTCTCACATTAATTTCCATTCCTGAGTTTCCACATCACCAGAAAGTACCCAAAAGTCTTATTCCTAAGAATAACCACAAAATAACACAGTAGTGTTCACGAAGTTCCCTACCGTCTCATCTGTGAAGCACATGCCAGCAACATTCTGTGGTTTACCCAAAACTTTTCCTACTATTTTGGGGGCAACAACATTAAAACCCCGTATTTTCTAAGAATTGAATTCAGATCCAATGAAGGCATACGATATATTTATAATAATGCCTGACTCTAGATGTAAATGTGGGAGGATGTAAAAATTCAAATGTAGTAATTAACATAATGTAAAAGCTAAAACTTAGACTTTACATTTATGCAAAAGGCAACCACTCTTAAGGTCCAACCTCATGAAATATTCATGAGCTGAAAGATGCAAATTAGGGACAATGCCTTCCTGACCAGTACTGCACTCAGCTTAGAAGAAACAACAAAATTACTGTGTCATTCTGAATGAAATACTGTTACATTTTTGAGAACAAGGGTATCATCAAAGTATTCTAACATGCCATTTTTTTTGTTGTTGTTGTTAACTGTCTAGCCTGGTTCAATTTCTGGTGAAGATCAAAGGTGATTATACTTAAACGGTATGATCTCTTCTATTCCTCACAAAATAGGTAACTATTACACTTACATTGCAACTTAGTTACTTTACAGGAATAAAGAGGAGCCTGGGGCAAACAATGGTTAAAGCTCTGAAGTGCTGACGAAAAAGTTAGTAGCTGAAGCACACAAGCCCTATGTGGCAGAACGATGTAGCAGTCAGTGTTTATAAAGATTACAACCTTGGAAAAGCAGTGGAGCAGTTCTCCTCTGTCCTTACAGGGTCACTGTGAGTCAGAATCATGACAATGGGTTTGGCAAGTAACTAAAGAGCAACAGCAGTAGCAAGTAATTTTAACATTAACCCAAGGCGACAGTGTTCCAAAACATGCACACACTGCTAACAACTACTTGTCTTATCATACCCTGCACAAACAGAATACAGTAACACTATCTGGGAGTACAGAAAGGGAAAGTTAACAAAAACTGACAGTTCTATTACCATGAAAGAACTTATCTGGAAGGAAAACCAGCACTCAGTCTAGTCCACATCACATTCTTTGGAGATATATACAATTAGTATATAGAAAGGATGCAAATGTTCCTAAAGCAACCAGCCCGTTCCAATTTATCACAATTAAGGAAGGGAAGGACAGACGCATCATGGGGTTGAATGCCTGGCAATTCAAATATAATTCCAGATACTAAGTATCAGGAACGAGGGCAAGAGACTGGCAATTCCTAATGACAGAAAAAGAACCATTTCCTCCGGCTTTCAAACAAACCTAGTTAGGAAGGAGGTCTCCATGCATCTCAAAATTCAGCCCAATTGCCTAACTCAGACTCGACAGAGAACTCCAGAAGGACTTCCAACTGTCAGTGTTCAGACAGAGGCCCACCAGCACCATGCAGACAGAATGGGCCGCCCTCTCCTAGAACTGAAGACACTTGCGTTTGCAACGCCTCCTCTGCAGGCAGCCTGGCCGGATACAGGGCACCTTGCAGCATCCAGAGCAGAGGCCCAGAGCAGCCCAACCTTCCCGGATCTTACAGAGGACCAGCCACCGGGGAACTGAAAAAACAACTGGTCCCCAAACCTCAACTGTACCTAAGACATAATGATCTATTTCCCCCTAACTTCACCTTCAGCTGGCTTTTTGCTGGCAGTATGTATGGGCTGGGCTTGTTTGTCAGGGAGTGGTGCTTTTTGACACTCAGAGATGGTGCTGAGCTCCAGGGCAAATGTCCTATTTTCACGGAGGCTCCAGCTGGGCAGCTGCTGGTTCGTTCTTACTCGCCCGAGTTCCATCACGAATTCGCTTCAAAATGCAAAGGGCCTCGCCTTGCCCTTGGCTCTGTCCCCTGCACCCCAAGAGTCCCAGAGAGCCTAGTTAGCGGGGCTGTGTGTCCTGCCACGGGGTGGGGGGGGGCCTTCTATCTCAGGTCTGGCCCGCTCCCTAGGCAGCATCAGTCTCCAAGTGGCAGGTCCTGCTGGGCAGCAGCCGCGCCTGGGGTGGGGGGACCTGTCTGCACTGACCTCTTCTCACTAAGCTTTGGCCTCTGCTGCCCAGCGGGGGGGGGGGGGGAACCAGGGAGGAAGCAGCCACGACCAAGCACCTTCTGATTCCTTCTGGGATTTTTCCATCGCCCTTGCCTCCGCGGCCAAGACTCCCTGGCCCAGCTGGCCGCGGAGAGATGCGCTCCCTTGCCCATCGCCAGTCCCTTCCCGGTGACCTTGGCCGCGGCCACGCTGCTCAGCGCCTCTGCCCTCAGTGGCCCGGTCACCACCGACTTGGCGGGTGACCAGAGGGGTCACCGTGATGTGGAAAGTGGCCAGCACCCGGGAGGGGCGCCGTGTCCAGCACCCCGTCCTCGCCCCCGGCCGCCGAGCTCGGCTCCGGCCTCTGATGCGCAGGGACCCGGGAAGAAGGGCGCACAGGGTGCGGGGGGCGCCCGCAGGGGGTGGGGACCCCGTGCGCCCCGGGCGGCGGGCCGGGCTCCGGGGCGCGCGCACCTACCTCCTCCAGCAGCGTGACGGTGTTCCTGCAGTTGTGCAGCCGCGTGGTGAAGCTGGACGTGGTGGGTGAGTTGTAGTCCTCGGTGGTCTCGGCGATGAACTCGGACACGGAGATCTGGTCCGGCATCCTGCCGGGAGGGCGAGACACAAGCGCGACCGGGGGTGAGGCGGCGCGGGCTCCCGGGGCGCATGAACGCCCGCCGCCGGCCTGGCGCGCGGCTTCCCCGGCGGCGGCGCTCGGCGCGCAGCCTGCAACTCAGCGCGCGGCTCCGGGCAGGGGGCTCGCGGGGACCTGCCTCTCGGGGCTCATGCCGGCGGCGCGGAGACGGCGGCTCTGGGCGGCGGGGACGGGCGAGCCGAAGGGCTGCGGGGCGGAGGACTCCTGCGGCCGTGCGGCCCCTGGAGACGAGATGACAGGCGGCGGCCAGGGCCCGACTGAGCGCTCCTCGCTCCGCTCCAGTCACGAGGACAAACAAGGAAGTGGTCTGCGCACGCGCGCCGCCTCCGCCGCGCGCGGCCCCGCCCCCGCCGCCCGCGCACCACCCCGTCCCCGCCCCCAGCCGGTCACGCCCCCGCGCCACACAGCCCACGGCAGGGCACGCCCCGGGGCCCCGCCCATTCCACAGCGGGCCCCGCCCCATCCACAGCAAAGGCCACGCCCCCACGCCAGCTCCCTCTGGGAGCCAAGGGCCGACGCGGGGGCGCGCCTCTACGACAGCCCCGTTCCCGGGGCCGCGCCCGCCCCGCCCATACCAGGCCACGCCTCCACACGGCCCCGCCCTCTGGGCAAAGTTCCGACCCCGAAGAGCGCCCGGCTATGGACGCCAGGCCACACCCCCGGCACGCCCATCAACGGTAGGCCACGCCCCTTGGGCCAAGTTCCGCCACGAGCACGCGCTCGGCTACGAAAGCTCCCGTGCCCGCGGCCGCCCCCACAGCGGTTCCTTCCACGGCCTCGTTACGCCAGTGTTTTGTAAGAGGAGGCACCAAAAAAAGTTGTCCGCGTTCTTTTTTCGTCCCGTGTGGGTGCAGGAAGCGAGGCTGCGGGCTGCCTGGCGCCCGCCGAGCGGAGGGGGCCGCCCGGGGTGCTGCGGTCGCTCCCGGCCGCTCGCCCGCAGGCTCGCTTCCCCGCAGGCTCGCCTCCCCGCCCTCCTTCTGCTGGACGCGGGCCGGGCGCGCGGGCTGGCGCTGGGGTCTCCTGTGAACGGCAACGGGAAGACACAGGAGTCCTTAAAAAACATAAAGAGGGTTGTGTCTAGGTGCCTTTGAGTTAAGGATTCATAGCGACCCTATGAACAACAGATCTGAATCCTGCCCCATCCTGTGCCATCCTCACCATCCACGTGCCATTCGCTTGAGACCCATTGCTTCACTCACTCTGTCCATCTCTTTGAGGGTCTTCTCTCTTTCGCTGACCCTGCTCCTTTCCAAGCATGCTGTCCCTTCCCAAGAGCCTCTCCTAACAACACGTCCAAAATATGTCAGACAAGCTTCGCCAGCCTCGCCTCCCAGGAGCACTCCGGCTGCACCTTTTCTAAGACGTATCTGTTTGTTCTTTTGGCGTTCCAAGGGATATTCAGTGCTTTTCTAAAGCATCAATTCTTCTTTCACCTTTTTTCATTGTCCAGCCTCATTATATTGGACATAATTTGCACCTCCCTTACCTTACTCTTTCTTTGAATACCAAAAAGAACGAGGGTAGGGATGTGGAAATTCTGTGTCCAACACCCTACAGATGTCAGACAAATTTCGGTGGAAGAACTGCCAATATGTTGCTCATCCTTCGGCCTGGCAGATGGCTAATTTTTTAACCAGCTTAATCTACTTACTCCTAAAAAAATCCATTTAATTTCTTACTATTGATTACTAATGAAATTAGTTTTAAGGAGGAAGCAAAGCTCAGCTTTTGGGAATCACTGCCGGGAGACAGGCTCTTGTCCTTGGAGCCACGGGGAACTGTCCTTAGCTTAGCTGCCCATCTGGCAGATGCGCTAGGGGCCTCAGAGCGAAAGCTGGCCTCCTGAGGACTGAACGCTGGTCACTTTGTATGGTTAAGTGTCCCTTCTCTTGGTCCTTAGCCCCATTTACAATAGTGTCCCATAACAGAAATCTTGTCTTGCACTGACTTTAACCCAGACATGTGGTCCAATGGTGCATAAATGAAAACATGCACACTTCATTTACTGTCAGCAAATGCTTACTGTCAACTGCTTGCTTGGGGGATAGAAGGATATCCCTGGTATAGGAATAAGGAAGACGGAGGGGGGAAAAAACGATCACCCGCTGGAAATAAAGTGATGACTGCTGAAATTTCATCTCACATACTCAGGGCATGCTGTCAGGAGGGGAAAAGAGCATGCTTGGAAAGGTGAAGGGTCACCAAGAGAGACCCCGCAGGTGATGGGTTGGCACAGAACTGCAGCGCTCTGGCATGGCAGGGAGTGGGGGGGACAGTGCACCATACAGCAAGGCTGTGATCTGTTGTTCACAGGGTTACTAACATCTAACAGCAGCAATATACGCTTGGTTCTCAAGGAGCTTACCGTCTACTGGGGGCACAGCAAGTAGAAAATAATAAAGCAGCATAAGAAGGGGACAGTGGCGGGTTAGCAGGTAAGTTTTTCCACCTCCCAGGTGGGAGAACCTGGCTCAGTTCCCAGGTAAGGCACTTCCTGTGCAGCCGCCGCCCGTGTCAGTGGAGGCTCATGCGTTGCTATGAGGTCCAACGGGTGCTCCCAGATTCTGATGGACTTATAAAGAACAGTCTGGCGAACCACTTTAAAAATCAGTCACTGTGAACCACGTGGTGGTATGGTCCCAGCCACAGCTGATGGTGGTGCAGGAGAGCAGCCGGTGTATTGTTGACAGTTAACAAGGGGCAAGAAAGTGGTATTGGAGACCGCCTGCCTCTGTGACAAGGTGACAAGGAGCAGAAGAGAGAGAACAGGGAATGAGCGCACAGATGCCCTGCCGGCTCTGCTCTGGCCCTCCATGGCCTCCCATGGAAAAGATAAGGGGACAAGCCCCTGGAGGTTATCATGTGTGTTCAATGATTACTGATGCTGCTGGTCTGTGCAGTCGAGCTGGAAGATGCTCCTAGCTGACCCTCCAGTGGGTTCCAGAGCCTGTGAATCACACAGGCAGAGACTGCCCCTTCTGCCCCTGCTGAGCACTGCTGGATCCAAGCCACATGCCCCTGGTGTGGCAGCACGACTCTTGGCGCACGAGGCCACCAGAGCATAGGCAAGTCACATGTTTCAGATGGGCAGCGGCTCCAGCTAACGACAGGATGAATCCTGTAAGGGAAGAGTGTGACTTCACGCACTTCCTGACAAAGGACACCATGCTTGGTAAAGTAGAGGGTCCGGGAAAAAGAGGAAGACCCTCAACGAAATGGACAGACACAGGGCCTGCAAAAATGGGTTTAAGCTCAACAGAGAATGACAGGATGCCGAGGACTGGCGGCACTTCATTCTGTTATCCAGCAGTCTGTAGGAGTCAGGGCAGGTGCTCCTTAGAGGAAGGGACGGTCAAGCATCATCTCATACCTGGGTAGTCAGAAGCAGCCAGCTTTTGGAAAACGACGTCATTCTGGGAAAGACAGGACCAGCGAAAGAGGAAGCTCCTCAATGAGACGGACCGAAAACAGTGACTGCAACCACGGGCTTGAGCCTCGCAAAGGTTGTGAGAATAGGACGGACAGGGCAAAGTTCAGGGGCTGTTCTAGGGTCACTGTGTGTCACGGTCAACTCAATGGCATAGAACATATGAGTGAGAGGCAGTTCAGCAGCACCTAACAATGACTGCCAGAGTAAAGTGTTCAGAAATCAATGCAGGCATTGTTAAAAAGGAAGTTAATAAACTACGGAAGCTGCTTCTTCCATGTTTTGGACATGTTGATAGAAAAGGCTATTTTCCTTTGGAAAGGGACGTCATGCTTGGAAGTGCTGAGGGCCAGCAAGAGTAAGACCCTCACTGAGATGGATCAATACAGTGTAGACTCAAATGTGTCAAGGACAGGAAGGATGGTGCATGATAAGACAGACTTCAGAGCTCTTGTTCATAAGGTTCAATATAAGTTATACTCAACAGCTCCTAATAACAATAATAACACATCCCTTGGGAGCTTTTTAAAAGTCTGGTCTGTAAAGCAAGTTTGTCATTCTAGAGAGAGAGCCAGACAGAGTCAGGCTCTGGAGGTCACTTGCTAGTGCATGAACTGCCCAGAAGGATCCTCTCTCCTTCCACCTGTGAACCGGGCCACCCTGCACCTGGAAAGCTGTGACTTGGAGGAAATATGGCACCTGTTCACCTTAGTCTAGAGTCCCTGAATGATACGAACCGCTAATGAGATGGCTGCTAGCCAAATGCGTGAAGGTTCAAGTCCACCCAGAGGGGCACGGAAGAAAGGCCTGGTGATTGACACCCGAGGAAACAACCACTGAAAGCCCCATGGAGCCCAGTTCTCCTCTGACACACTCAGGGTTTCCATGAGCTGGAATCAACTCCGTGACATCTGGTGGTGATGGTTCTTAGGTGCCATCAAGTCGGGTACCACTCACCGCAACCTTATGAACAACAGATCTGACCAGCAACCCTGTCCTATCCTGTGACATCCTCGTCACCTCTGACACACTAGAGCCCACTGCTGCAGTCGCCGTGCCAGGTCCTCCTCTCTTTCACTGACCCTCCACCTTTCCAAGCATGATGTCCCTTTCCAGGGAACAGACTCTCCTAACCACATGCCCAAAGTGTGTGAGCTGAAGCTTTGTCACCTTTACCTCCGAGGAGCTCTCTGGATGCACCTTCTCCAAGCTGTGTCTGATAGGGTTCTGGCAGTCCAGGGGGTTGTCACCTAACTACATTTTTCTACATTTTCTAAGCCTCAGTAACCCCATGCTACTTGATTTCCCCTTAGACTTCCTTTGCTCCAGCAGGTCCTCCTCTAGGACTTCCAGGTGGGAAGGACACGCAGACTTGGCTTTTGCATTTGCATGTATTCTGTTCTTTCTTCTAGTCTAAGGTATCATCTAACAGCTGGCCCTCCATCAGGCTGGGTGTCCCTTCTCTCTGTCAAGCATGCTAGACAGCAAACAATAAATGTGTCTTGATATTAAAAGGCTCAATTGGTGAGTAATCACCTCA